TCTTTAAACTAAAGTCTTCCATGATTCTCTCACGTACATTCATATCTGCTCATGGGGTATCCAAATGTAAACAAATGACGTCACACATTATGAAACCGAACTCTCCTCTGAGGGCCAATCGGTTAAAGGCACGTCAGGCTATATGACGGTTCCGAATAGGATACAGGTCCGATTCCTGTCGGACGACGAATATTTTCTATGAAAATTTTTCGGACATTCAGGCCGGTAAATGTTGCTTAATACTGTTTATTATAAACAGAGCATTTACTTAAATATTTGTATCTATAAAAAGAATGTATAAACATAAAAATGTCTTAAAATAATTGTCGAACTTTTGTCCATTTCATAATATATATATATATATATATATATATATATATATATATATATATAGAGAGAGAGAGAGAGAGAGAGAGAGAGAAAGAGAGAGGGACAATTTCAGGGTCTAGTAATATCTGAATAGACAGGACGTTTAAAATAAAGTGAGTATATTAATTCAAATAAGCACATTTAATCAAATATAAGTGCGGGGTTCTCTTAATCTTCAAATTTTCTAAAAGCCGTTTATTCGGTACGGATGAAATTCGAAAAATTAGTCTCTCGAATAAACTGGTGCGTATGATTAGTATAATTTAGAAACTTAAGAAACGCCCCCCCCCCCTCCACCGACACACAATTTATTTAATCCTTGCAAGAGGCAAGAATCTTTACTATGAGAGAAACGTAACAAGCTTTGACCCAAGCTACATCAATCAGTAGAAAGACAGATAGATTCATATGAATTGATATATATATATATATATATATATATATATATATATATATTAAAAACTAATTAGAATTATATTAAAACTTGTTAGAATCGCTTTGTATGCTTTCATGTTTCAATGCTTTGTACACACACACACACAACACACACACACACACACACACACATATATATATATATATATATATATATATATATATATATATATATATATATGTGTGTGTGTAAAAGAAAAAAGAGACATGTCAACCGTCTGATATATATATAATGAAATGAACAAAGTCCAACAATTATTTTAAGACATTTTTATGTTTATACATTCTTTTTTTTATTGATACAAATATTTAAGCAAATGCTCTGTTTAAAATAAACAGTATTAACAACATTTACCGGTCTAAATTCCCGAGAACTTGTCATATATATTGTATCGAACCTGTATCCTATACGGAACCGTCATATAGCCTGACGTGCCTTAACCGATTGGGCCACAAAGGATCGTTCGGTTAGCACGGAAGATTGTAGTTTAAAAACAGTAAAATCGACCTTGATGAAGTCGATGAATTTTACCATAATCTTTGCCTTGAGTCCCTTTTTGGTGTTACAAGACGTTTTGATTGTCTATCGCTCACCTGTGTCCCACACATAATAATCAGGGGGTGTAGTGTGGGGGTGGCTACATATAAGGGGTGATGTGGTCTCATAAGCTGTCTGACTTCCATGCTTGGATTCTTCTGCTTGTGTGGCATGGTGCTGTTGCCAAATATAGGACCTTGTAGCAGCCACACTCTTGACCTCGGGTAACACTAACTCTGCAAGGCACTTGCTGTAAGCCTCCATATTGAGTGTGAAGCCCAATTCTTAATTCATCTTCCCTAAGTGTGAAGATAAATTGAGGCATAAAGTCGCAATTACTAGTGATCACTCCACACTATGGTGTTGAATGGATATATCATCTAACTCTTTCCAAATCCTTTGCACTGTCCTCATATTGACACCCAAACACATCTGCCGCTAATGCCAAGCAGTACAGCATGCCGTTTCTGGCAGAGTGAATTACGTCATGGTGCTCTTTTTGTCACAGATGATGCCCAACTGACCCGACGGTACTGTGCAGCTGACAAAATCAAAAACAAACAACGCGCATGCGTGAAAGGAAAAACATAAAATGGCGACAATTTAACCATTGCACCCTGTATATATACTTATGTGTATAGAGGGAGAAAAAGATTATATATATATATATATATATATATATATATATATATAGAGAGAGAGAGAGAGAGAGAGAGAGAGAGAGAGAGAGAGAGAGAGAGAGAGAGAGAGAGAGAGAGAATATTAGTGGTAAATATAGACATACATATGCAAAATATATAAATATATATACATAGGTGCATACGCATACATGTATATTTTTTTAATAAAAATTCCACCAAGGATAGAATCCAGGTAGAACTCAATGCCCAAGACAGAGTAAGGATATAATAAAAAGGCTTAAACACTAATATTCTATGGTCATAATTTCTTCCATTGGAATCGTAAGTACGATCCAGTTCATCAGACCTACAAATTCAAAAAGAAAACAACTCCGGAAATAAAAATAGAATTTAGAGAGAATGTAAGTACGAGAGTACGGACGAATGTTAGGACTAAAGAGAGGGATATATATATATATATATATATATATATATATATATATATATATATATATATATATATATATATATTGAGAGAGAGAGATAGAGAGGAGTGAGAGAGAGGCAGAGAGACAGAGACTATGAAAGAAAGAAAAGCAAGAAAAAAAGGCCAGGGAAAACTGAAAAAAAGAACAAAAGAAACAAAGAAAAATGGTAAACAGAAACGTATAGATAGATAGATAGATAGATAGATAGATAGATAGATAGATAGATAATGAACAGACAGGAATAGATAGATAGATAGATAGATAGATAGATAGATAGATAGATAGATAGATTCATTCTTGTGCCAGTTTGCAAATTAATTTATTATATTACTTCTGAAATGATTCCCCCTTGTGCCAGACTTAGTAAATATCGTTCACAGACTAATAGATCGATAGACAGATTACAGTAGACAGTGAGCACTAGTACGTGTTTACAAGAGAGCGGATATCATGAATTTATCATCATGTAAACAGGACGACGAAGGTTTTGTCAACAGTTTATTTTATGAACTGTGTCCCCCCTCACCAGTCGGCAAATGAATTGTGTCGCTTTCGCATAAGATTCATCATGCTAGACAAGAATAATGGTGTGATGGATGGGCTCAAAGCGCTAGTGGTGGACTACCAAACATGGGAGGGAATACAAAGAAACCAAAAATAAAATATACAAAATCAAAATAAGCGTGCGAAATGTAATGAGTGCGCCGATCTCTTTACCGATGGCGTTTCGGCAAAGGTCGAAGGCGCAAGCAAATTTTCGATTTCCCCAGTGAACCGCAGCCATTGCGTTCATGTCCGTGGTAGGATTTCGTGATGGCGGGGAGTCGGTGGCACCAGGGTATTCGAAAATGCGAACTCAAGTAGAAGTGACTTATGAGTAAAAATAATACAAGTTCCTTCAATAAAAAAAAAATAAAATAATTGTCTTAGTTTTATTATCATTTTTTTTTTTTTTTTTTTTTTTACAGTTGAGCGAATGTGAAGACAGTGGTATATCAAAATAATTTCCCTAGGTCTAGCTGGATTAATGGATAGCGGCTCGGATTGTGGAATCGAAGAGCCGAGTTCGAATTCCAGTCGAATCCATTACATTCACTTACGTGCTAATACCCTTGGGAAAGGTATGTATCCTCTTCTCCTCCCCAAGCTATGGACAAATAGCAGGACAGACCGTACTCTATAGCCTTGGATTGTAACTGGTCTACTGCAGAAAGAAATGGCAACCTAAGGCTGGAAAAATCTGCCTCGTCAGTCATGTATCAAAAGATACATGATCGCCTAAGAGTGTATCACGTATGGCACATAACTAACTGACTAACACCCACCCATACGACGTAAGTGCTGAAACTAGACGTTCAAATGCTGATTTTCAAGATTCGTAGGATATTGTAGGATATTGGTAATCAGGTAATCTTTTACTCATATTATTAGGTTAAGTCATAAATAATTTCTGTTCTTCCATCAATCTATTCTTAAAAAAAATATTGTACAATTGCATTTGATTCAGTTATAAATTAACCATTTTTTGCAATGAATTTCTTGCTATTCACAAGGCGGGTCTTCGATATCTTTCTAGAAACTCAGCAGGTTTTGATGTATAATAAAAAAAAAACACAGTTTTCGTCGAATTCTTGGATTTGGTTTTCATTAGAGAAACTTCTTTTCACCAAATCGTTTTTACAGCGATCGGAAAAGAATGCCAGTATTTACTCACTTTTCTCTCTGAGACGCGATGTGAAACAAGGTCGAGTTTAAGGTGAGGAAACCTACCACCTACACACCGTCGATTGTGCTGGCACCGATATAACTACCGATCCCCCCTCTCTAGGGCAACCACGGGCAGCTGTTCCCCGGGACCGGGCACCTCTCAGCAGACAGAAGCACAACTGAGTCGTACTCTGCCCGAAGACAGATACGCCACTGAGAGATGATAAACCTACCCGGCATTGGCCGCAGAATGTAGAGAAGAAACGTAATAATTGGTTGGTACAAGGTCAGGTGAATATGTCAGGTTAGGGAAAACAGAGTTCAAAAGATTTTTGTAGTAATTATAATTAACTATATTTATTATACCTCATATCGTATGAATTCATTGTGGAAGCCATTTTCTGTTATTCTTCCTGTATGTGACATTACAATGTCAAGGAATTATTGATTTGTTTTTCACAATTATTGCTGATTATTTAAAACCAGAAAATATTTTTAGATTGTGAGAATGTTTTGGTGATAATAACGATTTATGATACAAGTTCTATTAATTATCCCATACTGTGAGGAGATGAGTTGGATTCATGCCTTACCGAAAGGTATTTGCGCGTAAGGTAATATAACGAACAGCCTGGAATTGGAACATAACTCCCCGATTTTCATTTCCAAGCCGTTATTCAATATACCATTCGCACATCCAAGCTTACAGGACATGGTATTCCAAAGCGGTCACCTATCTAAGTACTGACCAGTCTAAACGTTGCTTAACTTCCGCGTTAGTACGGAAGCCGGTCTTTCAAAGTGATCTGCCCGTAAGCATATTACACCACCTGCGCATCCAAGCTTACAACACCTGGTATTTCCCAAGCGGTCACCCATCTAGGTAATGACTAGCCTCAACCTTGCTTAACTTCGGTTATCGTACGGGAACCGGTGTTTCAAAGTGATATGGCCGTAAGCCGCATTGTCAAGGAGAAACATAACATTTTCCTTTAATCCGCTGTGTACGCTGCCACTGCCGTGCAATAATGTTAAGTATGTTAACATCATTCATTCGTTTTTATTCTGCACCGTTGTCGTCACCACACCCATCCATTTGACAATTGTGGTTCATGGTGACATGAGCAGAATAGTGAAATACCTAGCCAGTTGCTTTTTCACCGGCAATGTTGAGGTTACCAGACGTGGATTTGTTTTTAAGTTACTTTCTTTTAGCCTCATTATCTGTACTCCACTTAAATTATTTTGATTATTTACGAAATCCATATAATATATAATATTATGTTATATCAATCTCACTTCAAGCCAGATATTAACAACATGGCGGAATTTAGAGTTGCCTATGTATTTAAAGCAACGATTGTAAACGCTTGCAATTCAGGAATAAGCTTTGGATCAGAAGCGAAGCAGGTTTCAGTAACAAAGTCCATGGTCCTTTATATCATGAAAAAATATATTCAGGCAAAACTGTTGCAGTTCTTGTTAAACTCTCTAAAATTACAAAGAGATGGATTTTTTTGATTTTTTTTTACTCCCGTGGCAGTGGATACTACAGGGGTTATTGAACCTCGTTCGATGGCGTTTCTTCGGTTGGATTGACGCGATTGCGTCTCGATTAAGGGACGAGCCTCGCGAAACGGAGTGGCTCTTGCAATGTGTCTCACTGGCGATGGTTCGAGGTAATGCTTTCGCCATCATTGCGGCTGGCAGAGGGTAGCAAAAATAATTGTTTATAGTTTCTGGAATTGTCATCAATGGTCAACTGAACTTGCTTTGTTTCAATAAATTTATTAACGGAAAATTTCAAGATGAACAAGATCATCATATTAAGCACGTTTCAGATGCAGACCTTCAACGCTGACGGCGTTTCATTTGTTTTGGCGCGTTCATTATCAGGACAGCCGTTGTTTTTTTTGTTTTTTTTATTACAACACAAGCAACGTTTATACAAAGATTTATAATTATTTGTAAAAATATATTAAATGTATTTTAAACTCAGAGAGAGATTGTTCGTAAGTGCAATAAGATTAACATTGCGCTGAAAAGCATTTCTTAAAAATGATGTATATATGTACTGTACTATATATTTCTATGTTTATATGTATGTACTATATATTTCTGTACAGAACGTCCTCGGGTTACGTCGAATCCAACGTACGACGTATTGTGCTTACAGTGTATCGTGGTTACGACGTCATGTCCCATAATATAATATGTCGTCACGCGGCGCTATATGAGGAAGACGGCGTTGTTTCTTCACCGGATGTACGCCATATTGGATTGTGCTACATTCGCCATCTCTCGTTTTTGTCGTTTTTTGGGGTAAATATTTTGCACTTCTTTATAGCTCCTAAGCTTAAGGCAGACGCATGGGTGCTTATGTAAGTGAGTTCCGACATGCGTCTAAAATCAGGTTACGTCGAGCCGTAGGAATGGATCTCCGACGTAAGTCAAGGATCCCCTGTAGTGAGCATTCAAGAACAAATTCTTTGCTTTCTTCCACGTACCATGTCCTTTCAGCAGGTTCGAGATTATGGCTCTCCACAATTCTCTGTCCTTTTTGAGCTCTTAAATTGCGTCTTTCTGCTATCATTCCTAATTCCTGTTCTGCTACCAATTTACAGAATCTTGCTCGCTATATTAAGTGCTATTTTCCTCTATCCACCTTGTCTCAGTATATCCTGTCAGTGTCTAATTTTCTAAGCCCTTGTAATTTCAGTTGTCCCTCTCTGGTGTTAGGTATAAGTGTCCTTTTTGTTTCCATTTTCTCTATAATTTCTTCGTTGTTCAAATGGTCGATCAATACTATTCTCAGCATCCTTCTGTAAAACCACATTTCTCTTTGTTCTAGCCTCTTCCTCATCTGTGAGGAGATTGTCCAACATTCAGTGCCATACAGGAGGACTGATATTACGTAACAGTTACGTACGCTTTTCTTATTTGATTGGTATTTGCACGTCTCGATGGGGAGGAAACTAGTGATATTTGAAATTCAGTTTTATGAACTGAGGCAAAAATTGCATTGATTGATCGAAATCATGCACAGCGAGTTTGAAGTAAAAGATGAAAAACTACTGACCTTAAGAAAACCGTCCCTATTATAAAATATAGGGCTATGGTTTTATATTTTGGAGTTATTTTATGGAAAAGGAACGGAACATGCCTTTAAAATCATCAGAAATATGGAAAAAGAGAGATTAACGTGATATTTTAAAGGAAGACCTGAAAGATATTGCCTCTTTAGAAGATTATTCACTTTCCAGTATGATAAGGATCCATTGTTCTGGTAGATGATCAGGTTTTGTTTTTCTCTTATTTTTTATAATTTTTTTTTTGATTTTTTGTTTTTATTTTCTTTGATTTTTTGTTTTTATTTTCTCTTATTTTTTATAATTTTTTTTTGATTTTTTGTTTTTTTCACGGCTTATCAAAACTTTGTCGATTATTTAAACCTGAAATATATTTTTGAATTGTAAGAATAATTCTTCTTTCTGCGAGTGAATATGGTATTAAAATGAGATTTATTTGCTACGTTGATCTTATATCGATGACCCGATTTTTCTTTTTGCCACTGAAATTTGATGCATGGGAAGTGTGATGGATATCAACTCGGAATGGGAACTGGTAGGCCGAGTTCGAATTCCGGTAGGGTTCACAAGTCTGTTTTTAATTCAGACCTTCTGCCCCTTTTTAACTTTCGGAAAAGAGGTAACACTTTGTTTTTTAAACTTCCTTAAGAATCATTTAATCACCAGTTACCTACCATCGCCTGAAGACGTACAATCATGTATTGAAACATAAAAGCTTTTGTGTAGCGATTTCAAAATGTCTTCATTATAATCTCTGATAATAAAAAATATAAGGGTTGATAAGCCGTAGAAAACGAATCAATCAATTAATCGGGCATAAGGATCGCATTGGCATGCCTGTTTGTGTTTTAGATAGATAGATAGATAGATAGATAGATAGATAGATAGATAGGAATGGAGTGAGAAACAGCAAGATTGATATGAATTTAGAGAGATATATATGACGATAGATAGATAGATAGATAGATAGATAGATAGATAGATAGATAGATAAGTCTGTTTAAATATTTGAAAAATTATCTTATTTTAAAAATAATTAATTCCATTGTACTGATTACATAAGGTAAAACTGCGTAAATAAATGTCTTAAAGTGCCCGGCGATGTGAGATAATTAACCAATTCATTTGATTAGGGTCTCTAATAGTTTGCCAAAAAGTGGTAGAAAGCTAACAGAGCGATACTTCTTAAAGGCTGGGGTTTCCAAGAAGCGGGAAAATAAGAGGCAACCAGGCATTTATTGTACGTTTTGGAGAGAACAGGAGCCAGTTCGAGAAGACTTTTTAATGACTATTACAGGGATACCATCAGTCAGGGATCCAGATTAGAGATGGTAGCAGAAACCATGGAAGCAGAAGTGTTCTGAGAGTGAGGTCTGACAAGAATACTCCAAATGAGTCAAGGAGGAGAATTTACAGTCAAAGCAATCTGCTTTAACATCTTCAGAAGATGTTAACACCCCAAATTAGTTGAAGAGAGGAGAAAAAGAAAACTTACTCTTATTTAATACACTATTACAGTGTCTCCATTAGTCACGTGAGCCATAATGACGCCTCATTCTGACAACAAACAAAGACTTAGATTCTTTGACGACAAGTTTATTACATGCTGCCACGAAGAAGCTTTGTGTTGAGATCAGAACTGTCACGCTGGAATACCCGGAAAAAGTGATTCTGTGGAATATAGCGGCTCAACAGGCCGGTGTGAAACATGGAGAAGATTTGGATTTCAACTGGTATTTCCCAGATGTCGGCTTTGACATCTATGTCGGTTTTGACATCTATGCCGGCTTTTAACCCAAGTAAATGCTTATTACATCCATTAACTAATTGGCAGAAATCAAAATATGCTAATAACTGCTAACCCGGTGACAATATTACAATATTCGATACATGCACACACACACACACACACACACACACACACACACACACACATAGTGGGAAAAATGATAATGAGCTCTTAGAGTCATTGAAAAAATGAATGCCAAAAGTGTGTGCTGCTGTAATCACGGCTAAAGGGGAACATTTTGACGAGAACAAAATTAACAGCGCCCCTCAAACTTTTGAACTGTTGTGTGTGTGTGTGTATATATATTTCGTCTACCGGTAGTATGTGTATATATATACTTCGTCTACCGGCTTGAATATTTAAGAAATCTTATTAAAGAAAAATATATATTAAAGAAAAAAGAATACCGTTCATGGAAGCAACGGACAATTTACCTAACCTAAAAACCTTATCCAGATAAATATTCAAATAAAGCATAATTTTGAAAAAAAAAGAAAAAAGGTTTAAAGGCAAACCTACCTACTCAGTTAAGTGTTCAAAGCCTAGGTTGTCTAGACAGAGCAAAAAAACGATTAACAGCGTTAAATTCTATGAAATGATGGCCCTCCTCTTAACCCGAGTTTCACGCTCAAGCGATGTTCTGACGACCTGAATGCAAATGGAAGTGGGGACTATCTTTATATAAACTATGACCAGAAATCACACACACACACAAACAAGCACACACAGACAGACAGACACAGACATATGTATGTGTGTGTGGGTGTGTGTGTGTGTGTTATATACCATAACTATGAACACTAAAGGGTATACTTTGGACACTATTGTATGTGAAGATAATATGCTGTCTACGTAGTCCACACTAGCAGTGGTTTACCTACTTCACGGAGCTGGCGAGTATTGTATTTTGTTGATGTTATAAAGGTTACCGTTTCATTTCCAACCTCCGTTTTGGTTATTCCTCATTCCTAATTCAGCAACCCTTTCTAGGTTACAACAATATATATATATATATATATATATATATATATATATATATATATATATATATATGAACAGGACGATCTTTCTAAGTATGAG